CTCATGTATGAACTGACTCTTTGTATGCTTCATTGTACTAGAAGTAAGGAGTAGTGTCTTCCTAAACTATACCTATTATAGTTTACTCATGTTTTACTTGTACTGTTATTGAAAAGACTCTTTTATCTACTAAGTTATGCTTGTACTTTAAAAACGGAGTTTTGTAAAACTATAAAGTAACATAACTCTAAAAGAGTTTTTGAAATGTTTTGATCACTTATAAACGACATAAGCAATCTTTTGAAAGATGTATATAGCAAACATTTACACAATTATCATTGTGTTCAACTTGTATCCCCCCCCCCCTTAAAAGCATTTAAAACAGTTAAAAGATTCATTACGGGGTATGAACTCACCTGATGTGGGTGATTCAACGAATACGCGCGTAAGGATGAGAAGTTGCACGAGTGAAGTCCCGAGACACAACAAGTCCTAAATGACATACATTGGCATATACTGACATAAATATAGTGCTTGGAAGCAACCAAATGCAAGGAAACACCTCACGGGACTAGGAAACACTTTGACCAAGTGTTGGAATCACAGGTGATTGACACTAAAGGGTGTTTATGGGCCATGGTTTGGTGTTCACGGCCATGTGTTTACGGCCAAGGGAGTTTACTCCTGGCCGTAAACTCTCTAAATGGTCACATTTAGGGTCTTAAAGGTAAGGAGTCTCAAGGGTTCAAGTGTTCTTAGGTTTAACAAGAGCCTAGTGAAAGAACCCCTTTCTATACTTTCATATTTCTGAAAGACCCAAACTTTCATACTTGACAATATAGTTATTCCAAAACATGCTACATGCATATTTATAAAATAATATTTTACATTGATAAAGTCATTACAAAAGATGGATACAACCGACTATGTTTTAAGATTTTACATAACTACCCAGTATTGTAATTTTATACAAACATAAACTGAAGTACAAAAGTACTAATACAAACTATTCTAAGTCTTCCAACTATACTGGGGCTTATTGCCTGCATTAATGTTAAAACATTGGGAAGGGTAAGCGATAACGCTTAGTGAGTTCAATATAGATACAATATAACGTTATGCCATATATATACCAATATGGCGGAAGCAAATAGGAGCAAGGAACAACAAGACATAACGTGATAAGCTTTCCATACTTGATATACAATCAATAAAGCTTTGGCCCAAATGGCACAGAAGACATACAACTTCGGATTAACCTTTTAGTAAGATTTCAGGCTTATAGCCCTGTCTACCTTCTGCCAATGCCATAGAATAAATCATTCTCTTATGGAGACATGTTCTACATGGCCAGAGGTTAATAAAGTACCAATATGAATCTAAGTCCTTTCACTGATCACATGGTCAAAGGTATTTCTTTTGCTATTAAAAATATAACGAATAATAATGACACGTAAAAGATACTCAAGAATATTATTTTGCTAGAATATCCAGACTTTCAGCCTTATCTTAGCATACTACCGAAGCCAAAGTGATGCCTATGTCATACACTTCAAGTCAAAGGTATAGCTCCGTTAGTATTCCGTTAGTATACAATTCATGTTTTACATAGCCAAAGGTATAAAACCAAAATAACCAGGAAAATAACCCGGAATAATAATTCTGAAAAGCACATAGCACATATAACACATAACATACAATTATTCCTATATATTAAACTCACCTTAAATTACCGGGGGTACAAAATAATAATTTGGGCAGCCCTTCGGCTCTATATATTTTCTTTCTTCGTTGAAAACCAGGAGTTTTCTTGAAAACGGGCCCTTGCGAGGGTTGGGCTTCGAAACCGAAAAGATAAATTTTCCGGGTCTTCGGGCACTTCGGGGCGTGTTTCGGGCGTTGGAAATAATTTCGGGGCTTCGTGGGATATCAAAATAATGAAAATATAGAAAAGAGGGGTGAAAATGGTCATGTTCCCATTTTCCCCGGGTAATCTCGCAAGGCTCCTATTTATAGGAGGGGAAATCCAAAGTTCGGCCGAGAAGGGACACGCGGCAGCGAGGGGTTCGGACACGTGGCATCAGGAGGCGAAGGCACGCATGCGAGGCTCGGACCAGCTGGCATCGGACAGATGGCTTCTACACGCGTCGGTCCTGCGAGAGCTCGGTTCGGACGGCTGGAAGCTTCTTAGTGGACCGAGCTTCGATCCAATGGGGGTACAGGGTGACGACTTCGGACCAATCAGCGGGTGCCACGCGAGGCTGCGGTCCAATTAGAAGACGCCACGTGGATCGAACACTATTCATGCAAAAATTATTGAAAAATATGTCCAATCTTGTCAAATCCATAACTTTCTCATACAGGCTCCGTTTTTTGACGTTCTTTATATGCACGCGTAGAGAAAATTATGCTCTACAACTTTCGTTTAGACTTCATCGGAAAATTTTGACTTTATTTTTATATTATTATTTTTAACAGACCGGGACTGGTAAATCCGTTAAAAAATCATAACTTCTTCATCTGACGTCCGTTTTCGTCAGACTTTTTACCGTTGTACTACTAATGACGAGACCTTCGATTCTCGTTTAGGTTGTGTCGGCTAAAAATCACTCGATCTAAAATTTGAGTTTCTAGTTGTCTACTGCTAAGCTGAAACTTAGAAAAATCATAACTTCCTCATACGAAGTCAGATTTTGGCGTTCTTTTTGTCGAACTTCTCGGTTTCATGAATACTACAACTTTCATTTAGATCGCTAAGGCTAAAAAGTAGTTTATCAAAAAACTCACTTTTTACGTCATTCGGCACCGTGTCGGTTTTATCGCGGATCTTCGATTGATCATAACTTCTTCGTTATAACTCGGATTTCGATGAGGTTTTCGCCTATATGTTTCTAAAGAGATTATCTACAACTTTCAATAATAAAATTTTACTTATTTCAAATTTTATATTTTCGCTAATTTTCACTATATGACTTTTAATTGGAATCTCATAAGACTTCCAATATTTTATTAGTGATTCTAAACATAGTTTTACTTTATTTCTAGTAAAAACTATTTGTTAGAACTCAATACTCAATTTCTCATAATATTTCATAATATTATTAACTTTTTAATTTACATAACACGATTTCAAAATGTGTATGTTACACCTAGATGTGTTTAAGGTCCAAGACTTGACCATAATTGGAGTTTACGGCCAAGGGTGTTTACTCTTGGGCCGTAAACTCTCTAAATGATGAGTTTGGTGATGATTCAAGGTCTTACAAAGCACAAGGGAGTGTTCTAGCCTCAAATCCAAGCCTTAGGAAGAGTTTATGGCTCAAATGGCACCTTTATAGGGGTTTACGGCCATGGGAGATGGCTTGGCCGTAAACTCCTTTTGGTCTTGCATTCTTGATGTTTTCAAGGCTCTATGTATGAGTCTTAACTAGATATCAAGTATAGGGAAGAGTACTTACGATATAGAGGCTTGAAATGGTCGATTTTGGCCAAGAACACTAGTGTGTGTTCTTGGTGTTCTTGGTGAAACTTGAAGATTTGAAGATCTAGTTCAAATGGATGTTTTCATGAATGAAATCAAAGAGTGTAACTAGGAGATGAAGTGTAACAACAAATCAAGGAAGGAACACTTAAATTTTTGATGATCTAAGATGATGAACTCGATGATACTTGAGAGAGAATTGAAAGTTCTTGAGTTTGGAAGTGAAAGAATGGCTAGAAATGACCAAGGGTCATATATATGGACTTGAGTTTACGGCCACATGAGTTTACGGCCGTAAACTCATTGGCATTGTGGTCGTGAACTCCTTATGATGAGGTTAAGGCCCGAATGTTGCACAATGTCTCTAGCATGTACATTCTAACACTCATTCCTTAAGTGTACTATGCTTAAAACTCCTTAGAATGACCTTTAACCAGGCTAGAACTCATTACCAATGAGTCTGACACTCAGTTGAGTTTACTGACTGAGCTTTAAAAGCAAAAAAATTTCGGGTTGTCACAAGGATACACTAGTTCAGATCTTCTAGAGCTCTACAAACAAGCAGCCTATTTCCCCATCAGGGATCTTCTAGATGATGAGAAGAAAGGCAAAAAAATCAAATGTTAGTATTCATTCCTTTACCTTTATCTAAGTCGGGTTAAAACTGGCACCAAATTATAGAGTCTAACCTGAGCAAAAAATCACGTGGTTCCCAAATTAAGTAAAGCCATTAAAAAAAATCAAAAACACTTGTGGGGGGTCCGGTTATGTACCTTAAAAAAATGGACCAACCAGTTCAACCGGTTAAAACCGATCGGGCACCACCGATTTTTTCTTTTTTTTTAAAAAAAAACGAATGAAATATAATGGAAAAACACTTGTACGGTTTATTGAAAAATAGTTGATTATTAGTTCATTGATAAAGTGAGGAACGGAAAGTGGGAGTTTTTTGCAATGTCTGACGTCAATTCTAAAGCAGCGAACGGATGCGAGAAAGGCACAGTTGGGTTTTTTTATTTTTCACTTTTAATTTTTTATTTTTATAGATTTGTAAAAGTTATAGAATGGGAAGGAGTTGAGGCATGTGAGCTTCTTTTTATTAGAGCAATTTATTTATTTATTGATAGTTTGAGAGTGTTGATAAATAGTGATTAACTTTTTGTTATCAATCCCATAATTTAAATTAACAAATTGTCTGTGGTAACATATTTTTTCTCCTTTTAAAATGGTTTTTTAAGACATTTTTCTAAAAAACAAATTTAAGATAGGTCATTTATTTTTTCCAAGGTAGTTCCTAATTTTTCTCCTATAGATATTATAAATAAAATTGAAAATTTAGGTAGGTCTAGGACCTACCTTTAGTCTTAGTAGCTACGTCTAAGATTTCATCAACGTCTAAGATTGAGTTCGGTGCTTTGGATGTATAATGTGGTTATTTTATTTGTCATTGTGTCTAATTATATTGCATTGAATACGTGTTTTGTTGATGTTAATTGAGATTTTTTATAATAATTTAGGGGCCAAGGGCATTAACACAAGCAGATTTGGAGAAGGTGGTGCTTACATCAAAGAAGACGAGGTTGCAGCAAGTGAGTATAGTGGTTTGAGCAGCTCAGAATCAGAAGTATGGTCAGTGCCAAGGGAAACGGATGATTATCAAGCAGCAATTAGTGGGCTTTCCAAGATTGTTGTCTCACAGATTATGTCATTATGAACATTAGAACCGACAACCAAGATCGTGATTGAAGATCATTCATATTTAAGATTTCATCTCCCTCTCAATTTTGATTAGTCAGGATTATATGTCATATTATGGTATGATGTACAATATACTTATGCAAAAAGTTATCTTATTACCACATGCGTTTGATTTTTCTTTAGTTTGGTTTTGTAACTTTCAGAGCTAAGTTATTGTTTTTTTTTTCCTGTATCAGTTTTTTAATAACAGAATCATGTGATGGGTTTATTTATTTGACTTGATCCATGCATGCTGTCAACTTCAAGATCAAGAACATGACTAATGTTCACCAACTTTGATAACTCGGACATTATTATTTTATATGATAGTAACACGGTTTAGAAAGAGAAGATTAAAAAAAAAGGCGACCATTACCATAATTGTTTGTTTTTACCAGCAGGACTTATTGACCCACTAGAATCAAGCTATTTTTTAACTTATACTAGTCGGACCAACTCTTCTTATCCGTGTGAAAATTAGTTATAGGCTTATAGGCTTTGATCCTATAAACGTTTTAAACTAAACACATCTAAACAGTATCAAATTATCAAAAGTGTGTGCGTGTGTAATCCTTTAAAAAAAAACCTAAGCAACATGTAACTAAGGTCTAAATGGAAAACACTCGGTTTTGTACATCTTCATCTCTTACATCTTTTTTTTTTTTTGTTATTTGCTATTATTATAATTATTACTACCATAAAAAAATGTAAATATTTATTATACATCATTTAGCAATGTCGGTAAATGTTTCTACCTATTCTTTTCATTTCTTTACTTTGTAAAACGACACTTTACACCATTTTACTTTGTAAAATATCATTTTCACCCTCAATTTTGAACTTTTTAAAATATCATTTTCACCCTCTTTATTTTCTAAACTTCCGTTGTTTAGCCCTGTAGTATATATAATCTGATTTTTCTACAGTTACTACCCCTCAACTTTGTAAAATCTTACTTTGACCCTCTTTGGCTTTGAACTTTATAAAATATAACTTTCACCCATTTGACTTTCTAAACATTAGTGTTTATCCCATCCCCTGACAATTACCATCCCTCAACTATATAAAATGTCATTTTGACCCCTTAGCTTTGAACTTTGTAAATGTCACTTTCACTCCCTCGGCTTTCGGAACTTTCGTGTTTATTCTCGTAATATATTTAATCTGGTTTCCTTAATAAATTTCGTTCATTAACATAAAAAAAACTAATTTATTAAGTGTTTATTTTTATGTATGTGTCAGTATAAATTTGAGATGATCAATGTTTCGAAGTAATTTAGAACTTTCGTTCCTTAATTTTATAAAAAAAAATTACTTGGTTTTTTTATGTACGTGGTGTCGGTAGGGCTGTAAAAGAACCGAACGTTCAACGAACTGTTCGTGAACCGTTCGGCGGAAAGTTCGTTTATTTAGTTAAATGAGCGAACATGAACAATAGTTTTGTTTGTTCAATTATGTTCATGAACATTCGTTTATGTTGTTCGTTTAAGTTTGTTCATTTTATGTTCATATATGTTCAATTTGGTTTGATTACTTTACTATATTATATGTTCATATATGTTCAATTATGTTTGTTTATCTATTTCCGTTTATATTCGTTTAGCATGTTCACGAACATAAACGAATAAACATTAACAATGTAATTTGTTAAATGAACGAACATGAACAAGAAAACTCGTTCGTTTATCCGTTCGTGTTCGTTTGTTTGTTCGGATAACTTAAAACGAACGAACATGAACAACCCTCATTCGTGTTCGTTTAGTTCGTTTACAACCCTATATGTCAGTATAAATTCGAGTTTGTCTACGTTTCGACGTAATTTTTTTTATGTTCTCGTGTTTATTTTTATGTACGAGTCATATGTATCACACATACAATATGTTTTTGATTATTTGAACTTACATTCATTATCTTAAAAAAAATCTTACTTACTTATTTTTTATGTACGTAACGGCATAAATTCGAGTTTATTTACATTTCGACGTAAATTTTGTGGACATTTTTGTGTTTATTTTTATGGACGTTTCCTAAATATGAGTTAGGTCACATATAATACGTTTTTATTCGACAGTATAAATTGGAGTTAGTCAGTAGTATTGACATTGTATATTTAATTAATTATCTACCCACGAATGCAAGTGTACCTAACTTTTATCGATAACAATGGTGGAAACTGGACAAAGTCCAAGGTATAGCACACATGATTTGAGGGTAGCATGTCGGAAAATTAACACTACGCCGGAAAATTTCACAAAAAAATTACCTTATGCCTGAAAATTTAAGGAGTAGCATATGCGACCTCTGGAACCCTTGGTTCCGCCTCTACAATACAATAGTTAAAATTCATTTATAAAGCAGAAAGACTCTGTTGAACACGCGACAACTAGTATCAAAATAAATAACCTCTTTTATGATGTAAGATCGACTTCCCACATAAATATCAAGAAAATTATTCGTATACTATAAAAAAAACTTGAATCATTTACTTCGATCATGAACATATTGACAAAACCAGTTTTCAACGTTAGCCATCAGTTTGACTTTGACCAACGACATACACATTTTATCCAACTCAAAGTTTTGATATAATAATTGTATAATTTTTCCGGTTTGACTACAGAAAACAATGTTTTATTAAATCCATAATACTATAATAGCATCTACTTAACGGATCTTATTTATCTTAGACAACTCTCATATAACTACCTTTATTTACTTTCACAAAAGTTACTTTATTTACTTCATCAAAGTAACTCTAATTTGCATCAACCGAGTTGAACCCTAAAAGTCTCAGTGACTACCCTTAATAGCGAATCTAAAATATAAAAACACATGGTTTTTTTTAATTATGTGAGCTGATAAAAAAAAGTCAATAATACTTGTGGTGGCCCGAGTCGTATCGCACCAATAAAAAACGACCGGTCTACAAAAAAACACGTTTAACTGGACCGGTCAAACGTCTTAAAAGCCAGTAAAAACCTAACCACCAAAGCCTTATTTTTGCATTTGCTTCAGGAAGTGCTACTGATCCCGTTGGACGAGATTCATGGTTTTTCATCAAGAGTTCATTGTTTTGCTCTGCAACGAGCAGACATGTATTCAATTCAGAATATCTTGTGAACTTTTGCATCCGATATTGTTGCATCAAAGTAATGTTTGTTGCATGAAATGTTGAGTAAGTTTTCTCCAACATATTTTCATCAGTAACCTCTTGTCCATAATACTTGAGTTGTGAACATATTCTGAACAAAGCTGAGTTGTATTCATTTACTTTCTTGAAGTCTTGAAACCTTAGTGTTCTCCATTCATCTCTAGCATTTGGAAGTATAACTTCCTTTTGATGATCAAATCTTTCTTTCAAAAGATTCCAGAGAATACTTGGATCAGTAACATCAAGATATTCAAATCTCAACATTTCATCAATATGCTTACGAAGGAAAACTTATGCTTTTGCTTTGTCTTGTGCCAAGCAATTATTAAATTCATATATAGTATTTGAGATACCCATGGATTCAAGATGCATTTTTACATCTATCATCCATGGCACATAGTTTTTCCCACTAACTTCAAGTGCTGCAAACTCGAGCTTTGCAATGTTGGACATAATGTAACTATAAATTTTAAACAAAATTAAAATCCATTTATTTCAATAAATATTACACAAAAAAGAAGCGGTAAAGCTAACATTGCATACAAGCCTAAAAGTAGATGAATTCCATATTATCTTCGATGTTAAGGATTGGGATGAAAAGTAACATGACTATTATAGTCATGATTATCACAAAAGGATGAATCATCTTGAAGCTTGATTTCTTGAAATTGATTTATTTGATACAAGGGAGAAAAATTTGTTGTGGGTAAAATAAGCAGGGTAAAGATATTTATTTATGGTAGAAAAATATAGCCGTTGTTTTTGCTGTTTATAACCGTTGCATATATATATTCCCGTTGTGTATATATGTATATGTATTTTATAAATCATGTAATAAGACTTATAACTAATACATAACTTTACTAATTAGAAACATAAATAAATATTAGTAAATGTTTAAATAAAATTATGAAGAGTATCTAAAATATAAATAAACACTGACATGTATAAATAAATATAATTTAAATGTTAGTATGCACAAATAAAAGTTAGTAGCATAATATAAATGTTAGTATGCATAAATAAAAGTTAGTTGCATAATGTAAATGTTAGTTTGCATAAATAAAAATTAGTTGCATAATGTAAATGTTAGTATAAAAATTAGAATACATAAAGAAATGTTAGTATAAGAAATAAAAATTGTTAGTAGTCCATAATGTCCATAATGTATAAGTTTCATTAATTCATTAGTATTATTATTATTTTAAGATAGATGTGATTTTCCACTTGTTTAATAACCTTGATTAGAGCTTTCGTGCTGATAACGTGTTATGAATTAAGTGTAATTAATGTAACTATAAATCAAACCAAACTAGTAAACTTTGATAAAAACTTTAATTGAGAAGAAAGAATATTTATAGAGAATATGAAAGTTATATCTCTTATAACTTTTTGGTGTATCACATTCTTTACAATGGAGGGGTATTTATACTACAAATTTTACTAACATATAATTGTAACTAGTTAGAAATGTGACAAATGTACCATGCACCAATTATTATGTCATCCACCAATTATTTACAACACCACCAATTATTTACATATATATATATATATATATATATATATATATATATATATATATATATATAATGAAAAAGGAAATTTAGAAGGGTAAACCAAACATTTTACTAGTGTTAAGGATTAATCATGCAACAACTTGGAATCATAGGGACCAATGACGTGACGTTTTCCATAGTTGTCGTTAAAGTGTTACTTTTTGCAAAACTACAGCGACCGGTTCTAAAATTTTATTGGAGACTATATACCTTATATTATCTTTTTTTTAAGGTATGTTGAAAATATAACCTTTTATTTAATTTAATGAAAATTTTGTTTAGAAAGTCATATAATCTAATTGAAACTAAGTATGGCGTGACGTTAAGGATTTTACCAATATTAAGGATTAATGAAAATTTTGTTTAGGGTTTCATATAATCCTTAACATTTTACCAGTGTTAAGGATTAATCACGTAACAATTTGAAGTCATATGGATCAATGGAGTGATGTTTTCCCTAGGTTTCCTTAAAGCTATTTTTTGTAAACCGCATTGACCAATTCTGAAATTTGTCTTAAATTTGGAGATTATATACATTATATTATCTTTTTTTAGAGTAAATTACACAAATGGTCCCTATGGTTTAGGGTAATTTGCGCGTTTGGTCCCTGACTTATTTTTTTAACTCGGAAGCTCCCTACTGTTTGTTTTTGTTAGGCGTTTGGTCCTCGTCTTACCTAAAAATACTATTTTACCATTAATTTTTTAATTTATTTAAAAAAACACACCCCAACCCCACCCACCTCACCTTACCTTATCTACCCCACCATTTTTTCCTATTTAAATAATAGTCTTTTTAGGTAAGACAGGGACTAAGCGCGTAACAAAAACAAACAGTAAGGACCAAGCGCGTAATAAAAACAAACAATAGAGACCTTCCGAGTTAAAAAAATAAATTAGGAACCAAACGCGCAAATTACCCCAAACCATAGGGACCATGCGTGTAATTTACTCTTTTTTTTAACATGTGTTGAAAATGTAACCTTTTATTTAATGAAAATTTTGTTTAGTATGTCATATAATCTGGCCGAAACTAAGTATAAACTAATAATTTAAAATTGATTAAAACATTATCATATTATAATTTTACCATGTAGTTATAAAAAAAAGTGTCAGTATAATTTGTTTAATTAATAATGTAAGGAATTATTAAAAATAGTCAAAGTAAAAAAATCTTATATTGTTCTATTTTTATGTAAGAAAAATTATAATAAGCTAAGATAGAATTATTATAGGGAAATCTCCAGAAAAGTCCTAAAATTTTACCTTAATTTACGAAAAAATCTCAAACTAAATTTTGTTTTCGAAAAAGCATGAATTACCGGTAAAAATGGCGATTTGACCCATTTTTTTCGGTTTTATTACTTACCTGTTTCACAAAAGTCTCATTATTTTACCCTAATTTGCGAATAAGTCACAAAATAAAATTTACTGATGATTTGGCCATTTGCTCTATGTAACATACATTTTACCGGTTTCATTGCTGCCCCGCACGCCTAGTCATTAAATAAGATGATGAGATGGATATGTTGAGTTATATAATGCTATGTTTAGCATAAAATCTGATATCCTGATATATTATATATCTTTTTTGAACATAAAATGCATCCAACGAAGACTACAATAATTACATAAACTAACAACAACTACATTATTTTTTACGTTTATGAGAAATATCAAATTGTCTATCTAATCTTATGTAACTCAATATATCCATCTCATCAGACATCAACTCATTTTCTGTCCTTTTTTCTTGGAAACACATATTTTATTGGTTTCATTGCTGACGTAGATACATATTCACAAATGCGCCGATGAGATGGATATCAAATTTTACAGTAAATGTGATATTATATAACCCATCGTATTCATTTTATCAGCTAATTTAATGACTAGGTGTCTAAGTCAGCAATGAAACCGATAAAATGTATGTTACAAGAAGAAAATTGTCAAATCATCGGTAAATTTTATTTTAGGACTTATTCGCAAATTAGGGTAAAATAATGAGACTTTAGTGAAACATGTAAGTAATAAAACCGGTAAACCGGAAAAAATGGGTCAAATCGCCATTTTTACCGGTAATTCATGCTTTTTCGTAAACAAATTTTAGTTTGAGACTTTTTCGTAAATTAGGGTAAAATTTTAGGACTTTTATGTAGATTTACAAAACATCATATTTTGCTTATAATGTTCTTTTTTTGTACAAAAATATACTTATAATGTTATTTTTGTGTAAATAATGCAAAATTTTAGACTCATGTTTCTCTTTATTGGTTGTATTAACATTTTTAAGTTGTTTAATAAAGACCGGCTTTAGATTAAATAAAAAAAACACTAGCTTTTAGTTAATAAGTTAATTTTTATCTTATAAACTAGATGATATATGAAAATCTAGGGCATCCCACGTGGTTAACAACACAAAAACTAATTATTTTTACCACATAAGCCTCATAGGCCTGTCTGGATCTGAATTCTGGTTGAATCTACATCTGACTGAAACCATGTTGTTTGATTATACGTCTGACTGACTATTTGAATGATAAAAATGACCATTTTACCCTTCTATTCTGTTTGCAATTCAAACGATACAAATTTATATTTTTTACATAAATGAAACCAACCATCAAGGATAATGAACTTTGAAAATTGTATCCAATTTTGGCATTGTACTTTGAGATTGTATCCAATTCACCAAGGTTATTATCCATTTCTATTGAAATCAAACACACAACTCAAAAGAACGGATCTACCTTTATCTTGCTAAAATGAACACAAATGTTTTGTGTTTTTTTTTTGGAGTAAACCCTATCTACAAAATCAACATCACATTTTATGCACAATAAATAGCCATGTATTCCATACAAAAGAAGTAGCCATCTGCCAATAAAATCCAATAAACAAATGTGCAACTCCTTCCATCCTCAACATCAACGTTTACTTGTAGAAAAAAAAAATCAAGATTAATACAACAAGAGAAGAATTGTTGACCATCAAAAACACCAAAAAACACTACATAAGGTCTTGGACACAGTTTAGATACCAGGAATTTAGGATTCATATTAATTGATGTGCTTTAAACACTAATTAAACACTAATCGAACAACTAATTGCACCTGCTTCATCGAATCAATAAGCATACACTTGTACTGAACTAGAAGAAAATACGTTTATTATGTTCAAGTCAGCTAATTTTTTGGGTGGACTCGATAAGAGGCTTTGGATCAGGTAAGAATGTACATTTGGTGGGTATCAAACACTCTTACCGAGTGGAGTAAGAGGGTAACCTTTTATTGGACCCAATAAGAGGTAAATCAAACAAGCCCTAATTTATCATTTTCTATCTTAAATGATATAAAAAGTCACCTAATGTGTCATTTTCTTAAAAATTCATTATATTTTCTAAAAATAACAGTATTTGAAGTATTTATATAAATAAAAAAAACCATAAAATATTATGTAATGATAACATTTTTTAATCTCCGATATTTGTGTCATTCTGAAAGTTTAAAAAAATGTTTTTAATGACATAATTTTTTTATAAAATATTTTTATTTTTATTTTGTATATTCAGTTAAATAAATTAACTAGTCGTAAAATAATTTTTTTAATAAATAGAATATAAATGGAATTGTTATTAAACGTAAATGACAAAATAAATGAAACTTATAAGCTATATTTTTATGGTTTCAAAAAATAAGTTAACTTATAATATAAAATATATGAAGGCCAAGCAAAACAACCATATAAAATATATAAAGGCCAAACAAAACTTAGTTGGAATGACCTTAATTTGTCAGATTGAGTAGAAACAAATTTAGTATTAACCATGACACAAGCACACGTTTATAGACCAATAAAAAATGAAAAAATCCACGACCAAATAAATTTATTTAATACATTCTCTTCCTGAATCCTCACACCCCCCACTCTTGACTTCCTTGATGTTCTTCACATGTGTCGAGTCATTTTATAATCGTATCTCTTTCTTGACTTGTTGAACCTTTCCATCCCCAAAGAGTTCAACACATCTTGATAATCAATCCTATAAATTCATTCCTAAAAGCATATCCCACAAGCATCTCCCTCTCATCATCCCACGCAATCGAATTCAAATTGATATATAGATATTATTGTGTTCTTAATTTGGGGTGTTGTAGATACTACCACAAGTATGTTTCTCCTAAATTTAGTCGTGTTTATGGTGGTAATCATTGGTTTCTGGTTGATTCATAGAATATTATCAAGGACACCAGTAGGACACTTCTTACAGAATAAGTGGAGAGGTTTGGAGGAATTTTTTCATGTGCATCAGTTCTACAAAATCCCTAGATTCAATCAACACATGCAGGAAAATCAAGTTTATCGCAAAGTTTTCATGTATCTGAATTCGTTACCTTCAGCTGAAGATTCGGATTTTGTTAATCTCTTCTCCGGTGATAACAAGCCCAACGAGATCAATCTCGTGATCAACGCTGCACATCAGATGTTCTCAGACACGTACCTCGGTTCGCGAATTTTCTGGAAATTCGAGAAGGATAGTTTAGTTTTGAAGATGAGGACGAAAGAAAAACGTAGAATTCTCAGTTCGTACCTTCAACACATTCATAATGTCACCGACGAAATCCAGCAGAAAACGAAGCAAATCAGGCTACACATCAACGCGGAAAAAGAACCGGAGAGGAACGGAAGGTGGATATCAGTTCCGTTCACTCATCCAGCAACAATCGACACGGCGGTGCTCGATTCCGATCTCAAAAACAAGATGAAGTCTGATTTGGAATCGTTTTTGAAATCCGAACAGTATTATCACCGTCTCGGCCGTGTCTGGAAACGGAGTTACCTACTCTACGGCCCCTCCGGCACCGGAAAATCAAGCTTCGTCGCCGGAATGGCGAAGTTTCTATGTTACGACATCTACGACGTCGATTTGTCAAAAGTGGCCAACGATTCGAATCTGAAATTGCTTCTACTACAGACAACGAGAAGGTCAATGATCGTCGTCGAAGATTTAGACCGGTATTTGGTTGACAAATCAACGACTGTAAATTTATCTGGAATTTTAAATTTCATGGACGGGATCATCTCATCTTGTGGTGAAGAACGCGTGATGGTTTTCACAGTCAGCAACAAAGAACAAATTGATCCAACGGTTCTGAGACCAGGTAGAATCGACGTCCACGTGCAGTTCCCCTTATGTGATTTTCCCGCCTTCAAAACCCTAGCCAATAGCCATTTGGGGATAAAAGAACACAAGCTTTTCCCACAAGTTGAAGAGATTTTTCTAACCGGAGCTAGCTTAAGCCCAGCGGAGATCGGCGAGATTATGATCTTCAACCGAGGTTCACCAACCAGAGCTCTTAAAACTGTGATTAGCGCATTAAAATCAAACAACGATACGGTAATCGCTAGCAAAACAATATCTGGTACTAAGAATGAGGAACCATTAAGACTGACACATAGTGTTTCAGTTGGTGGTGCACTTGGTGTGCCATCGGGATTAATTGGGCACGGTGGTCCGGTGGGGTTACCACCACCTCGATTGATGCATAGTGGATCGGCCAGGACTGTTGAAGAATCACGTGAAACACGTCTGTTTCAACGGGAACGTATTCCGACAATTAAGGAATTTAAAAAGTTTTATGGATTGCTGAAGACGAAGAATAGTAAGAAGGAGTTCATGGATTTTGATGGATCAGAGAAGGAAAACTCTCGACATGACATCATGTTGTAAAGTGTTAGGATGTTAAGATTTTTTTTTTTTTTTTTAAATTCTGTAAAATTTCGTATTATTTGTTAGTTAGCTGAAAACAGACAATTTCTTATTTGTTCCCTTTTTTATTAACATGCTCCTGTTTTTAGAGTTCCCTTTCAATTATATGATTGGGGCAGAGATAGATGATTTATAGAAAAACAAAAATTGAGTGTAATATAAATGTGATTGCTTCGAAATGACTTCTCAATTCACACTTATTCTTACTATTTTAAGAGCAATGCCACTATTTTGTTCTAAGGGAAAATGAGTAAGGAGGTGACCAACATTTGATTTTGTTCACATTTGATATTTTTTTTTGTAGGTAATATATCATCGAACTTGTTGTTTGTGTTTACCATAACCTTTTTGACCGGTTATTATCTGATCTTAAGTTCTTATGATTTTAAGATCCTACAAACAAAAAATGATTTCGATCACAGTAGGATCTTTTTCAAGCAATATCTATATTGAGATCTTAGAATCTCGACCAGAAGCTTAAGATATTAAGCTGATTAGATCCTACTTCTTAAATCATTATTATATAGTTGAGCCTATAAAATTCGTTCATTCAACTTAAAATCAAACATGACATGTCAGAATAAGTCTCATTAAGTATTACCATTTCTTCCATCTATTTCGAATTAGACAGAACCTCGCGATACTCATATTATTTATTTGTGATCTTATGTCTTTAGTTGTATATGGTCACGGTGGTCTTGTTTTTTTCCTGCTTAAAATGTTTTATTCCCAATTTAATTTGTGGTTTTCAACAATAAGAATTATGATTCATGTTTATTAAGTTAAACTTGATTCCAATATTAATGTCTTAATCAACATCTATTTATAATAGATAATGTACAAACAAGACGATACATTCAAATTCGGTGATTAGTTCAAATTTGAAGATTAGTTTAGTTTAATAGGATCTTTCGATCTCAATCTAATTTATGATCACGATTTTATAATAAAAAGATAACAACCTTGATGTTAGATGAGTCCTATAATTATATTAATTGTACCATATAAATTATATATAACCCAACTTTTTTGATATTCCCAAAAAGGTTTATTTGAAATTGAACACATATATAACTTAATTTTTTATTTTATTAAAATAATCATCATCCTTAAAATAGGGGCAATTGTATTATTTTATACCAGTTTTATGTAAACACTAACAACCTGATAAAAATAGGCAAAATTATGCGGATGGTTTCTATGTTTTGTCAAAATAGATTGATTTTAGACAATTATAAAATTGTCTAACACGGTTGGTCCCTTTGATTTCATTTCTTGTGTGGTTAATCCTTACGGTTTCATTTTTTTCCCAATATTGGTCTAAAATTACTAATATACCCATGATTAATTTTTTTTAATAATTTATATATATAGTTTTATTTGAAAATAATATTTTATTAATTAAAAAATCACCCCTTAATTTACCACATCCATTTTTTACTATTTAGACTGTGAAAACTAAAAACTCCTACCCTCCCCTCCAGCCTCCACCATCTCCATTTTAATTTAAAACATTGAAGTGACACCATTCTCCATCACAATTATTGCAATCTCGCTCGACCACCATCTCTCTCCTCCACCAAATACTTGTAACCCTCTTACATTTTATCGCCACTGTTGCAAACTCTACATGGTTCTTTTACTAGATTTCAGAATCCACTATATTCTTTAAATCGATTTCATAAAACATTTTTTGAAATTGGTGGTCATTTCATAAAGGAAAACTGGCTCACACACCCATATGTTTGGCAAAAATATACGGGTTTACGTTTTTGTGTATTTTAGGTTTATTAAAACCGAAGATTTGCTACTTTTTTTTTTCAATTTTACCCGTTTGTGTGTTTTTGATTCATTAAAACCCTTATGGTTGACAGAAGTGTTCGGTTTTACCCTTTTTTCATCAAACTCCTCAGGTTAAGCATAAATGTTCAGTTTTACTAGGTAAACTTGCAAAAAGGTTAAAAGTTAAAACTGAAAGAAAAGTTAAAAAGCTCCGGTTTTAATGAACCTAAAATAAGCAAAAGGGTAAAATCCTATATTTTTTTGTCAAAATTAAGGGCTTTTACGTTATTTTCTTTTTAATAAACCCCACGTTTGATTTCAGTTTTGATTTCATAGATTGTTGGGCGGAAGCTATATTGGATTTTGAAATGGGATTTTGATTTTGATTTTTGTTTGGTTATAATTTTATCGGTTTTGGTTTTGATTTCATCATGTTTAGATTTGATTTTTTTGATGTTTGATTTTGATTATCGAGAGGGTTTCGCTTTTATTGGTTTTGATTTTCTTGATTTCATCAGGTTTAATTTTGATTTTCAAAAGGTTTGGTTATAAATTTTATCGTTTGGTTTTGATTTCACGAGTTCGTTTGATTATGATTAACTTTGTTTTTTTTATTTTGATTATAGATTTCAAGTTTGTCTTTGGTTCTGTTTTTGTTTGATTTGGTGTTGGTGGTTGATGAACGTGACCGATGGTGATCACCGGAGAATCTTGGATTTGTTAACTTGGAGGGGAGGAAAAAGGTAGGATGGGGGCAAGAGAGAGGAACATGGATTTGTTAACTTGGAGGGGAGGAAAAAGGTAGGATGGGGGCAAGAGAGAGGAACATGGAGGATGGTGTTTGGGGTGGTGGGACTAAATGTTTTTTATTTATTAATAAAAAATAAATAAATAATATACAGAAAATGTAAAAACATATAAATTAAAAAGGTAGAAAAACTATTTCCTATACAATAAGGATCAACCATGCAAAAATAAAACCACATGGACAAACCAGGTAGACGATTTGATATATATATATAGACACACACACGATACACGATAATAAAATGTGACATTTAGTTAAACAATCACATATATACTAGATATTTCAAAATAACCATTTTGAGAATTAATAGAAAGAGTTTTTGAAAAGTGCTTTGTAAACAAGAAAAAAATACACATGATATATTTTATGAAATCCCAAATTTCCATTTGGAAAATAGTTGTTATTTTTGCAAAATATAGGCCTACGTTATTCTATTCAAAATAATTATTGTGTTATTGTATGCATAAATGTGGGCCAATCAATTTTACTTATTTTAAGAAAGTGACTAATATATATTATTGAATTAAATATAATTGAAAAATATCATCTAATTTAATTACAAGGGTATTTTAGTCAATTAATATAGATTTAATAAAGGAAAATTGCATATTTTAAGGGATCATAGATTCTATTAATTTTAAAAATCCGATTTTACGAATTATAATTATTTTAATTCGGATATTCTGACAGAATGTGTTTTTGAGTATATTCAAAAATAAAAATATTCTTGAACCTATTTATTGATCATGACTTTAAAAACTTCTCGTAGAATAACAAATTCTTGAACAATTAATTGAAGAATAAAAACAAAAAATACATTATTTCTTATAGAATACGGGTAACAATTGTTAAGAATTACATTTATTGTTAAAAAATAAAACTAAAAAAACTTTCAAAATCGGAAAGAAAACATCAAAATCTAACAACGACACTACTACATTCTAAAAGAATAATGTTGCTTAGAATCACTTTCAATTTTGCGGTCCGTTCTTCAAGCATCAAATTCTGTGAAAACAAAACCAAATTGTAGTTTAGATTCCAACAGAATTGCAATTCATGATTCCATTCCAACAGAATTGGAATTCATGATTCATTTTATCTTCTTCATGTCAATCTCAAGAATTGTACCACACGTTTATGTTTTCTTTCCCTTAGATCACAATGTACTCCATATCTATCAAAATTCACAACTATACAATAAGATCATCAAGAGAATTGATTTTTTTTTATCTATTTAACTAGTAAAACCCAATCAAAAGAAACATACCCAATTCTGTTTTCCTGCCAAAGAACACCACTAGAGATGGGTAAACTTGGTTCTTGCTTCTATATTTATGACACAGTCGATCTTTCACCTCGTAAAACTGCAGTTCATATTTAAGTTTTATGAAACATATATGTAACAAAACAAACACATATTCATGAATTTTATGAAATAAATGCGTAAACAACAAAAAAATTAAAAGTTCATATTCTTTAATAAGTGATTTAATAATTTGAGCCCTAAAACTGTATAGCACCCTAAGCAATTTAACAATTTCCAAGAAGAATTAGCAATTCAAATAATTGAACAAAGCAACACCAAACTGTGACATATTTTAAGAGACAATAACATATATGCAATACCCCATGGACAAAAATACCCTTCCAGCAATACATTGAATGCAGAAAGCAAAAAGCAAGTCCTAAAAAATACATTGAATGAGATACAAAATAATAAAATGATAAAAACTCAAACCTGAATGCAGAAAGCAAGACCCAAAAAATATTTTGTCAACACATCGAAGCCGAAGATTATCTCCCTCTGTTCCCGATTCCCGATTGCAAAACTGTCGTCCCCAAACTCAGAAGCCGGAAGAATTACCTGAGGTAGGTTAACCAGAGACTCATCGGAGTTGAGTTGCCGCCGGTCAAAGTCAATATCATCTCCACCTTCTTCACCGTAATCTTTCTTTAACAACGGTTCGCCCTTCGGTGGTGATTTGAAATTTAATTTCCTCTTCTTCCATGGTAAGATGCTGCGTTTCGGAATCTGAGTTATACTCTGTTCAGAACTCGAAGCGGTCGGGTCATTTTCCGGTGAGCAACGCTCACTCTCATCGGATTTCTGGTTACTATAATAAAGATTGTCCTCGAAAAGAGATCCACCGGCGTAATTTGAATATGCCAACGTGCCATAGCTAAATGATTTTCGAACGTTAGCATTCTCGAACGATTCGTCGTCTCCGGAATCATCGCCTGATTCAGAGTCAACAAGATTGGAATTGGAATTGGAATAGTCACCTTCGTCACTCCTGCTTTCGCTAATTTCATTATCATCATCGCCGGAGGCTTTTTTGCCTCTTTTAATCGAGACGTACTCCTTGAAGAT